GAAAAAAATACAAAATAAATTATTTATTCAAAGAAGTTTTATAGATTTATTTTATAAGTTTTTATGGTACACAAAATAACACCAAAAGTCACTTAAATCACAAACATTTTATTTATATTATGCATATTTTTCTTTCAAATTATATTTCACATAAAATCATCACACATACATGTGCTTTTTATATTTTATATTTATACCAATAAAAGAAAATCGTCCTTGTATAAATAAATCTCAGTGTTTATTTTCCTATTTTATATAAGTAAATGTTAGTAACTGATATGTTTCAGCTATTTTACCAGCAAGTGAAGAATGGAAAGACAGTGAACTTCTACCCGCAAGTTTCTGTTTCGAACATCATCTTAATAAAAGCAATTCACCCTGTGTTTATGCTGATGTTGTTGTAGCTGCAGACTGTGCTTCGCACATAAACGTAAACACAAAATTTAAACATATATTACATCTAAAAGTATGAACATATTAATTTGAGGATACTTTTATAGGATATTACAGACCTTCGCGGTCATAGATGTTCCCTTCCAGATCGAAAGAAGAAGATTGGAGCGGCTGCATTGTTATTTAATTATTTATATACCAAAGGAGAAAGTCCAGCCTTTTTTGGTAACACTCTCGGTTCGTATACCACTAAGAAATCATATTTGCTATTTTCAGTGTATTGTACACATATCAATTAAATGATCAACTTAATTTTCAGATGCTGATACACAAGTTGCTACCTTACAAATGGTTGCAGGAAAACAAGCAGAAATTGGAATTTTAGAATCTCCTGTTATTAAATGTCATAAAGATATACTGCCGGGAATTGATTTATTACATATTTTAACGAGTTTGGGACCTTTGCCACCCTATCGCATCATGGTAAAAAAGACACTTGCAGGTATAGAAAAATTTACAGAAAAAATAAATACTTACGAAACGTTTACTTTCACGCTTTATTTTTTTGTTCCTTTGTTACAATTAATTATCTTTTTTTTCACTTACAGATGTCATTGTGAAAAAAATCACAGCTTATTTACTAAATATAGATCAAGACAGAAAATGGGTAGACAGATTTTCTCCTTTTGGTTTAACGGGTTTTACGAAAAATTTTGAAAAATTTTACGAACTCTGTGATCTAAAATCCGTAGTTACTAACGTACCATACTACTAAAGACTACGTTATACTTATTGAACTATTTATGGCCATACATGTAGCACATATTGTTTTTATACTTCTTTGTATTTCCATTTTTCGCACATTAAATGTTTAATAAATAAAATATTCAAATAATGATTTTCCATATATACAAATTATTTTAACATACTTGTTCACGAACATTCCCTCTACAGCAGATTAATTTAAAGTTAGTGCACACAGCACGAAAAATATTATCAAAAATTATTTTACAAGTCATACAATAAATCGTTATTCTTTGCAAATATTAATAACAGCAAAAAATTTATGAGGTACTTCATACAGATTAAGGAAGTTGATTGAACAATATTGAATTCACCAAAAATTTGGAGGAAGTTGGCCATCGGGTGATGGTATAAAACCTTTTGCTAAACTGCTCCTCAAAAACTCTTCAAGTCGTACTAATGGACCACTGCCAATACATCCTACACTTTGCATACATGGATAATATTCTTCTGATAACAAAACCAACAATTTACGGAATTGTTTTGGATAAGCAATCCATAATGCATTTCCAGCAACTTCAAGCATATCCAATAAAAGAGTTGCACAAAGATCTGATACTGTTTTGCGCGGTTCTGAAATAAAGTTACAGGTTTCGTTAAACATTCAATATAATTATCTACACTTTCCCAGAGTTTCGTATTACCAATATTTAAAACAGCAGCCAACCATCGCCATGCATTCTGAAGGCCATGTGGATTTGTTTTAGTAATTCCTTTTCTTTGTGACGTGATAGTAATGGAAGCATACAATCTCATTAAACCAGACATTCTTTTTAAAAATTTATCATGTTTCTCAGCTGTACCATCTTCAGAGTATTTGTAACCCATTAATTTGTAATAATCTTCATTCGATTGTCCTACTATTTTCGGCATAAAGACAGGAACCGTAAATGGACAAACTTTGTGAAAATGTGACAACAGTAAATCACCAAAATCGGAATGATCATTCCAAAGAGCTACTATTACAGCAGCAATTGGAAATGCCATCTTTGGTTTACTTGAAACAAGTGTTTCACCTTGGTTCTGTTAAAAAGAGTATATATTAAGCATTTTATAATAATGTAAAATACTTTGCATTAATATTATGAAAGTTATATAAAATTACATACAACTATCTTTTTAGCTAAAATATTTTTACAAAAGTCTGCCCCTTGTGGATGTTGAATAACATTAGGTGTAGACTTTCCTATAAGAAGATTATGTAACCTTTCATATTTATCTCTCAGATGTTGCTCGTTTATGCCAGAAATTGCATTTATAGGTATATTTATAGCTTTTTGACATTCAAATCTAAATATTTTTGTAGCTGTAGATTGTAAAAATTCATGTAAAGAATTTTCGTAACTTTCTAAAAATTTTTGACTGTTCATGTATATTTGTAAAGATTCTTTATCAACATATTCGTACAGATGGCCTGAAAATAAAAAAAGAAACATTTTTCACAGACTTATTAAGTATAAGATTATTGCATAACATAATTTCATTTTACTTTCATCCGGTTCAGTTGGTGACTTATTTTCTTCTATATTTAAAACTGGAACAGTTACTTGTGAAATATTTGTAGAATTTATATTCTCTGTTACTTCTTTTTCTTTTTTCATTTTTCCATCTTTTTGTATATCGTTATTTTGTGTATCATTGGTACTTATTTGTTCTGAAGTAACTGTCTCACAAACTATTTCAGTGTCTTTGAGCTTTTGTTTTGGCAGATCTGTAGATTGCACATGAGTATGCACTACATTTTCTTGATCATTTATTTTATCTAAAAGACAAAAGATAAAACGTAAAATGTAAAGTATTATATGTTCATATATAATTCAAAAAAAATGTATGGAAGACGACTCACCTACTTCTAATTTAAACATGCACAGTATCTCATCAATTTGAAGAACCATTTTTTCCATATTATTCAAATCACTAGATGTTACTTCCCCTGTCTGTAGATAAAATATAATTTATTTTATAAATGCTTATTATGTACTATTTAGTGATGTTCTCTTCCCTTATTTCTTACCTTAATTTTTTCATCTATTAACTTTATTTGGTGGTGTAACTCTTCTAATGTTGCAGCATAAGATAATAATATTATAGCAACAGAATTTTGATCTTTACAATTTTCAGAAAGTATTACAATATCATGATATTTCACACCATATACATTTTTCATATTCATTATTTTTTTCATCAATTCTTCTTTTTCTTTCATTTTTTTTCTGTACTCCTCAACTTCTTTTTGGCGTTCATGTCTTCTGCGTATTTCTTCTTGTTCTGCTATTCTTTCTTCTGCTAGTATGTAGGCATAATTCTCCTTATTTCTGCGTTCACGTTCTTCAGCCATATGCGAAAGGGATATTGCTATGTGCTCTTGTATAGCTTTCCCATTTTCTTTCATGTGTTGCCAATGACGATCAATTTCTTTCTAAAGAAATACAAAAATTATTCATTATTAAAAGTATAATTTATATTCCTACTTTAAGTATAACTTGAATGCATATTTACTTCTAAAACTACACATTTTAACAACTTTTATATTTCCTTCATAGAACAATTTTTAGAGAATTTATTTAGTTAAAGAAAATTTTTAAGTCTCATCCATTGAATATATTAAAAAATATATCAATGAAATAGTACTAATAATACTATCCAAATACAAATTCTACATGAAATTTGTTAAATCTTCATAAACAACAAATATACAAAAAATATAAATACTGGTTCTGTTATAAAGATTATGACATGCCAAACATTTTATTTTAAACCATTGTATATAACCATCACTACATAACTGATTAAAAGAATTAATGTATATAAAGTATACCTAAAACATCAGAATACATTTATTTATTTTGTACATGAAAATGTATAAATGTATAAATTTTTATATAAGTTAAAGCTTGA